GGGGGGGGGGGGGGGCAGGAAGCCACGCCACCTGTCACGTTCAACCGCGCAGTAGCCAGCGGTGCGCAGGGCGGAGCAGCGTGCAGGTGCAGGGACAAGGCGTGGATGGCGGTGCTGGTGGGAGCATCACCTTGAGGAACATAGCGCGGGGAACCAGGCGGCGCAGGAAGTGCAGCGCCTTGCGCCCGCTGCTCTCCTCCTCCCCGTCCCCGCCGGGGAACAAGTAAAACAGCAGCTTCACTGCACCGGCACGTGGCGAGGAGCGGGGCAGGCAGCCGAGGTCAGCCGGCCACCGCAGCGCGGGAGCAGGCGCCTGCTGGCGGCAGCCAGAAGCTGAAGCAGCAGCCAGAAGCAAGCCGGTCTGAGCGCGCGCCGCCGCCGGCGCCCACCCTCCAGCTGGCTGCTCCAGGAGAAGGTGCAATCCAGTGCCAGCTGGCTCTGCGCCGCGTAGCTCCCGTCCTGCTGCGCCACCGCCTTGACCGCCGTGACGCGCGGCGGCGTCTGCCCCAGGCACACGCCCTGCACCTCCACCCTCGACGTGCCCAGCCAGCGCGGCCGCCACACCCCAGGGCTGTTCAGCAGCCGGTCTATTTGGTGGCCGCGCGTGGCCAGCCGCTCCGCTGCGGCAGGGGGCGCTCCCAGTTGCAGCAGAGGGTGAGGCGGGCAGCGAGAAGATGAGCAGGCACCCGCCCCCATGCGGGGCACTCCAGCGCCTGCTGCTGCTCGCTCTTTCCTGCCGCGGCGGCGCCGCGCACCTGCGATGCTGAAGTGCGGCCACACCACCCGCAGCGCCGCGTTGAGCCACTCCGGCTGGCGCACCATCTGGGGGTCTGCCAGCTGCACAGCAGTGCGCGTGGCACGCGGCGCGGCGAAGCGAGTCGGCGGCGTGACCGGGAGTGAGCGCGCAACTGTGCTGCAGCAGCCGCTGCAGCGCGCCCTCCATGCAAGCTAGCAGTAGCAGTGCCTCCGCCATACACACAGGCGGAGCAGCCAGCTGACCTCACCCACGACGGCAGGCTCTCGCGGAACAGCCGCCGCAGGGAGGCCTCATCCCACTCCGCCTCTGCCAGCGCCTGCAGCTGGCGGTGCCGCTGCTGCTGGCGCCGCGCCGCGCGGCTGGCCAGGGCCCACCCCGCGGTGGCCAGCAGGCAGCCGGCCAGCAGCCAGAAGGCGGCGCCCGATGGGACGGCCTGGGGCTGGCAGCCGCAGGCCGGGGCCAGGCAGGCGGGCTGTGGGGGGATGGCATCGTGCTGGACAACCTTGGACGGCCACATGCTGCCTGGATGTATCGATCCGAGCGAGCAACAATACTGCAGAGCCTCATCGCGGCAGGCGCTGTACAGGCGTGCGGTACATGCGTGCCACCACAGAAGGTGCTTCGCCTCCCTCCCAGGTTTTACAGCTTCCTGCCTTGGATCTATGCAGCAGGCAGTGGCCGGTGCAGTCGAGACTGTGAAGAGCGCCATGGCCAGCGGGGTGAGTCGGGGGGTGGGGCCCTGCCGCCGCCCGCCCCGCCAGCGCTGCTCCCTGCAGCCTTGGACGTCCGGAAGGAGCTGCGGCAGGCCCTACCGGCTGCATGGCGCTGGCCCTGGCCCATGGGGTGGCAGACGGCCTCCGCCGGCTAGCTAGCACTGGCGCAGCCGGGAAGCTGGCCCACAGAGCTGGCCAGAACCACCTGCCCCCTGCCTCCTTTCTCCCCGCAGGGTCCCAGCCAGGCGGTGCCAGGCGTGCTGCAGAAGCCGCTGGAGGAGGTGAGGAAGGCAGCGTCAATGGCGGCGCAGCGGCTGGGACCCAGGAAGGGTCTGCTCAGCGCCGCCGTGGCGGCAGCGTGACACGCTCGTCCATGCCCCACCGCCCTCCCCCTTCCTCCACCGCCGCTGGCATACCCCCTGCCCCTTCCCCCCCACCCCGCCGCCCCCTACACGCAGGTCAAGGGCGATTTCGAGCGCGTGTGCGCCGGCTGCGTCAACGCCGACTCGGCATCCAAGACCTTTGTGCGCCAGGTGGGCTCAGCCGAGCGGGCTTGCGCGCCCCAACATGTACATACAACATAAGCATGGACACAGTCCATCCATGCCCCGGCGAGCTGCACACGCCCTCACCCTTGCCTTGCGGGGAGGCTCTCTCCCCACCCCTCTCCCTCCACCCCTCCTGCTCCCCCCTGCAGGACTATGGCGAGAAGTGCGAGGACGGCGTCAACCAAATGATCAAGCAAGCGGCCGCCGCCGGCCGCCGCCTTCTGCCGCTGCGCCGCCGCTGCCGCGCCGTCCGTGCCGCCACTGCAGCTGACCGCGGCCCCTCCTGCCTTTCTTCCCTCTCCTCCCTTGCTTTCCTCCCGCAGCTCCTACATGAACCAGTCCTACATCTCCACCTCCATGGCCGCCTACTTCTCCAACGACACCGTGGCCCTGCCCGGCATCGCCATGTTCATGAGGGTGAGGGTTAGGGTTGCGGGTGTGGGTGTGGGTGTGGGTGTGGGTGGGGGGGAGGTAGCAGACTGTGTGTGTGCGGCTGCTCAGAGTGAGGGCACGGCTGGGGGGTGTTATCGCCCCAGCCTGGCATTTGCGCTGTTCATGAGGGGCGAGGGGTGCACACGTGGGGCCTGCATGGCTGCTGCTGGGCAGGGCTGGAGGGGGCTGTCTGCTGCGCCCCTGCCCTGGGGCAAGAAGTACCAGGTTTGCTCCACAGAGCCGCTGCTGCCTTCCCTTGCCTGTTTGCAGACCAACGCCGCCAGGGCCAAGCAGGACGCGCTCCAGTTCCTGGACTATCAAAACATGCGGGGTGGAAAGGTGGGCGGGGGGTTGCGCTGCCACGCGAGTGTCGCCTGGCGGGACAGCGGGGCGCATGTGGCGCCTGCCAGTGCGCGCCGCCCCAGGCCCCGCTGTGCCCGCCGCGGCGCGCCGCGCTCGCAGCGCTGCCGCTGGGCCCAGCGAGCCGGAGCGAGCGAGCCTCCTGATCCCGTGTGTGCCACGAGGGGCCTGCTGTGGTCACGCTGCCTGCTTGCCTGCTGCCTGCCTGCCTGCCTGCCTGCCTGCCTGCCTGCCTGCCTGCCTGCCTGCCTGCCTGCCTGCCTGCAGGTGGTGCTGGCCTCCATCGCAATGCCCAAGGCCGACTACTTTCAGGAGGAGCAGGGTGAGGGCGGCGGGGCAGCTGCTGCTCGTTGCTGAGAGGCTGGCTGCTGAGGAGGGCAGCTGATGAGAGGTTCCGAGCAGCTGGGCTGGAGCTGGCAAACGCGCGTTGTCGGAGCCCAGCCGCCGGGCAGCTTCCACGCGTGGCCATCCCACGCATGCACGTGCCCTGCCCTGCCATCACCGCGAGAACCTACTGTGCCACCTGTACTGCCTGTACCGCCACCCCGTGCCGCAGGCGACGCCCTGCACGCCTACGAGCTGCTGCTGGCCCTCAACAAGCTCAACTTCTCCAAGCTGCGCGCCCTGCACAGCACCGCCCGCGAGGAGGAAGACCCGGAGCTGCAGGTGGGGCCCCGTGAGCCTGCGCTGGCAGTGGCAGCGCTGGACTGGGAGGGGTGGCAGGGTCCTGGCCTCACCAGCAGCGGTGGCGGCGGTGGCGGGCATGGGGGCTTGCTGTCGGTGGCGCTGGTGGCCGTGGCGCGCGGCTGCTGCCCGCACACGCGGCGGCCTCCTCCACTCAATGCCGTTGGCGGCTCTCCCGCTGCCCTGCTACGTGGCGCGCAACCGGCGCCCAGCGCCGCCCCATTCCCGCACCCATTCCTCTGCGCCCATTCTTCTGCGCCTGGTACCCCTGCAGGACTTTGTCAACTACAAGCTGCACGAACTGGTGGGCTGGCTGGCGCCAAACCGCGGCGCGCTGCACAGTGCCGCGGGCCGGCCGCTGGCAGACGAGCAGCCGGGCTGCCGCCGGCTGTGCCGCCACTGAGCTGCCGCTGCCGTCGCTGCCCTCCGTGCAGGCCCTGGCCATCCGTGAGATGGGCTCCTATGTGTGCGAGCTGAAGCGCGTGGGCACCGGCCACGGCGTGTTCCACTTTGACAGGCGCGAGACGGCGCTGCTGCCTGTTGCCCCCCCCCCCCCCCC